GTTATGCTGCCATAGGCTTAGACTGCTGAAGGACAAACTCACCACATTTCTTCACTTTTCTTTACTTTCTCTACTCTACCTGTTAAAAGGGAGTTTTTATAAAGGTTAAATGTTTGCAGACTGTGAGCTAAAGTTTGATTTTTCTAAACCAAATCAAGAAGTCTGCTATAAATATTTTTTTGTTTTAAGCTCTTCCTATTTGTCACATTGATTCTTATGTCTGGGAAATTCTGGAGCTATGTTCTTGGACATTGACAATTTATTTTGTTGACTTGTTTTACTCTAGAGTATTTTGTGTGTGACATTTGATTACAGAAATTATTCTACTTTATGTGAACTGTTGAACTGAATGTCATTTATTACACTATTTATAATCTGCACTTGTAGTAGAGATTGCAGATATTAAAAAAAATATGTAAAAAAAAATGCTTGATTATGTGTATGACATTTGAAAGTATGAGTGTGTATTGGCTGGGATCGCCTTTATGTGTAAGAAAAACCCTCACCCCTGTTGTCCCTGTGTAATTCTTACATTTCTTGTATGAACATGTATTATTTGAATATGTTATGCTGTTTGTTGTGGCCTCAGCAGACAAGCAGACATCAGGAATTGCATTGCAGAGACAAAGTAAACATGAAATCATTAAACCTATTTCACATTGTCTATAATGGATTTTGAATCAAAAACACAGAAATGTGCGAGGAAGAAAATCAAAATATATTTTGTTTACTATCTTTCTGTACAAGTATTTCTCCTCCTTGCTGTTTGCAGCTTAGTGGGAAAAGAGTGTATTTTACATGATGATTGGTGTGAGCTGATTTGAATGACCTGTTGTACCCATAGCTACAGTGTTCGGTTTAATGCTTTGTCAACAATATTGCATACATGAAAATGTAATATATATGTTAATAGAAGAATCTAATTTTTACACAGTGCATATCCAGCTGTTTGTCAGAAATGGTCCAAAAAAAAAAAAAAAAAACTATAGATAAGTAACTCCAAAATATTTCACATACTTTTAGTCTTGTTTTCCACAAAATTATTTCCAGTTATAATTTGCTTATGATAATATGTACTTTTTGAAAATTCATTACTGATTTAATCCTACACATGCTCCGTTTAATTTAACTCCAAACTGATAACATGACGCTTGTCCTGTGAAATGCACGGCTTCAGTCTGCAGACTGGATAGTGTTACAGTGAAGCCCAAAGTACTCCATCCTCCCCCTGTACTGAGGGAATGGGAAAAGGGGGAAAGAGAGGATAGGTAAACAGAGCCATTAGAGACAAATCTATTTCTGAAGAAAACAAAATCACATCATCAAACAAGAGAAAAATAAAAATATGACCCTGCAGCCCTTTGGGCCTCAGCGTTCCAATGATAGCGGACTATGGCATTTGTCTTTATCAGTCTGCCTTAAGGGAGGGAGAGTGTGAGAAGATATGAGAGTAGAGCGAATAAGAAAGACAGTGAAAACAAAGAGCTCTGCACCTTCCTTACTCATCACAAAATGCCAAACATATCTGTTATTTTTCTGACTTTAAAGATGGGAAAGGTTTGTATAAGAATACTACATTATTTATTTTTTTTTTTTTTACGTTTCTTTCTTTATTGCCAGTGTGTTTTGAATGGTCATTTTTTAAATATAGCATAGTGGAGCGCTCCGTGGACAGAGCCTTGGTGTCATCAGTCATGACTACCCTGGGGAAGCTTACGCAGCTTCATCAAGACAACAAGACTGACTTTCCAGATTTTATCTTTTTGCTATGACATTTTATTGTTTATACACTTTGCAGAAGCAGAGAATCATTATAGTACCTTAAATGTTTTTTTTTTCAATAGTTACATATATTTGACTAAAACATAATATGATGACTTTAAAACTGGATTATTATAGTCCCTATTTATACAACATATAACATATTTTATGGCCAGTTCTAGCAACAGTTCAATATGCAGTATACAGTGATTCTATTTCATCTGACACTGTTATTTAACATAATAAAGTTAGATAGAACGCATTGTAAAAACTAGAACAATTTAATTTCCTGCGTACATGCAGTGTGGATGCTTGTTCCTGAAGAACTTGCTGATTAATAGCTGAAATTAGCTAAAAACATGCTGAAATTGAAGAATAAGCCCAAGTTAGTATAAGAAACATAAAGAACACATATTTGCTGAATTAGGTTTAAATAATCAGAAATGAACACAAAAACTAGGAAATTAGCTAAAAAATAGCTTAAACTGGCAAAAAAATATAGCTGAAAAGTAGCTAAAAAGGCAGAAAGAAGCTTCATCTACCAAAAGGAAGTGGAAGGAGCTGAAATTAGCTAAACAAAATGTGGAATTGGCTGAAAAAGCTAAATTTAGCAGAAAACAGCTAAAAAGTAGCTGAAATAACAGAAAAAGCTGATACTAGCAGCAAAAAGCTAAAAGGAGCATATCAATCTGAAATTAGAAGAATGAAGTTAATTAGGGTGAAAGTAGCCAAAATTACTCCAAAAACTTGAATGTATCTGAAAACTGCTGAAATTAGCTAAAAATGCTTAAAAGGTAGCTGAACAGGTAGAACAGCTGAAATTAGTAGAAGAAAGCAGAAAGAACACGTTTGGTGAAAGAAGCAGAAATGAGCATAAAAAAGTGGACATTATCTGAAAAAAGCTGAAATTTGCACACACTCCAAAAAAAAAAAAAAAACAGCTGAAAAATAGCTAAAAATGCAGAAAGAAGCTGAAATTACAAGAAGGAAGTGGAACTTTTTTGCCGAATTAGGCAGAAAAAAGTTGGAATAATTGCAAAAAATGTGGAATTAGCCGAAAAAACTTAAATAGGCATAAAACAACTAAATAGTAGCTGAAATAGAAAAAAACTGAAACTTGCAGAAATCAGCTGAAAGGAGCATAACAAGCTGAGATTTGAAAAAAAAAAAAAAGTTAGAAGCACAAAAATGTAGTAGTTAGCAGAAAGAACCAGAAAGGAGCACAAAACAGCTGAAAAAACAGTTAAAATAGCTGAAAGTAGCTGAAAAAATGTTTACATTTGCACATGGAAGCTGAAAGAAACTGAAGCAGAACAAAATGTGCAAGGAGCAGTAAAAGGTTGTAAACAAATCTAAAGATCTGATGGATGTAAAATGAGCTCAATTCATTTTCTTTGAGAAAAGATGTGGCAGAAAAGGCCAAATATTTCAAAAAGCTAAAGTTGCACCAATACCAACAGTCATAGCAGGATTGTCCTGAAAGAGCTGAATGTTTTGATATATGATTTATTAAACTAGCTTGAAAACTATGGGACAAAAATCGCGCCGAAAAATGTATGAAAGTAAAACGGATCACAATAGTGTTAATGCTTCATAAACATTCACACAATTATAAAAAGGAGAGTCAACAGTCCTGCACCTTTGATTTTTATTTTTTATTGTTTTATGCTTTAGAGTTACATGCGGGCTTTAATGTTTTTTCCGCGTTAATGTCAGCATACATACACATTCATAGTGAAGTTGCTCTTGTTAAATCAGTGTGATTACCAAGATAGCACCCCCTTTTTTTAAACGTTAGCAAGTTGATATTGATGCAGTGTTGCAGTTGTCTGTCCTCAAATCTGCGCTGAAAAAGTATACAATGTGATTTGATGGTGACATTTCAGTAGAAGTTGGAGAATTATTGTGTGCTGAGTTTCATAGCAATACACTGAATCATTTCTGAGAAAAGTCAGGGGTAATCCACCTGCTCCCCAAAGTCATTAAGATTCATTGTCAGGGAATCAGAAATGTCATGGCAGTCCGTCTAATAGCTGCTGAAAAGTGGACCAATGAGCTGACCAAATGATATTGCCATCCCCAAAAGTCTTAACTCTTTTTTTAAATCAGGTGTATTTGCTCTGTAGCAAAATGAACTGATTTTCTATCTAAGAAAGGGAAATTCATTTTGCCCGGGTTGTAATAGAGTCTGTCCTTTGTCATGCCTGATGCCAAGTCCTTACAAATGCTTTATCATTATAGCGCTTCAATGTCATTTTTTCTTTTTTTTTCTGTTCCGATTTGGCTCTTTCTGAAAAAGGACTTCATGTGCTACAGCCTAGCTTATAGCTATTTAGTGGCTCTGCTCCCCCCCCCCCCCCCCTTTTTTTCTTCTTCTCCCCCCTCTATTCAGTTTGAATACCTGAGGGAAATTTGGCCGTGTCTGATATATATTTTTTTGTCTTGCTGACCAAGTTTTATTCCCATTTATCGGCTAGCAGTTTTCCTTATTTTTACCACCTTGGATAGTTAATTGTCTGCAAAGCAATTTGAATGTATTATTATAGTGCTGAGTGTTGTCTTAACATTGCATGGCAGAAAATACATGCAGATTTGAAAGTTAACCACTATTTTGGATTTTTCCAATCACAAAAAACATGAACAACACGTAAAGGCAATTCTCAAACTTGAGAAGGAAAAGCAATTATAAGCTAATTTGAATCTTTTGTGTTTCCTAGTGTCCACGCAGTCATTTTACAGGATACTGAACAGTATTAGCGGTACTAAGAAGCTGGAGAATATTAAAGAAAAAAAAAAAAAACTATCAGAACTTTTGAAATCTAAGAGATATGTAGCAGAAAGCAATGGGGTGTGATAGTGCCAGCATCCCATGAAAGCCTTGTCAACTCTTTCTAAGTGAAATGACAACGCAGTCTTGCTTATGCGACTGCTAAGCTATCTGCTATCTGGACACAACTCAAGTCTTAATTGGACACTAGTAAAGAAGCTTGTACTATGTTCACATTAATCAAGGTACATACTCACTTGTGTTTCTCTGGCTTTTACTGTATTTCTGACTGCTTGGCATAATAAGGAATGGATGTGTAATTGCTGACAGTAATAGCAATTGACATTAACTATATATTTGTGTAGTTCCTGTTCTCCAATATAGATTATTTATCATTTTCAAGAAGAGACATTTTAATTGCAAAATTGTGAAATGGAAAACTAATGGTGATGAAAGCCGTAGTGACAGCTGCACTCGTATTTTAGCAGTATAAGGCTGAATAATGAGGTTTATCTTCTCTGCCCTCTCTGCTTCAGGTCAGAACATCACATTCCCCCCAGTGGCTCTCTGGGTAACCATTGGCCTGGCAGTGTGTCTGCTGGTGCTACTCATTGCTCTGGCTGCTGTTTGCCGCAGGAAGATCAAGGAGAGCTGTGAGGAGGCCAGGAGAGAAGGTAGGATGGAAACTGAGGTGCACAGTTAACCCTACATTTTTTAATTGTTCAGTGGTCATGATCTGGTTGCAAATTGGTATTCAGTCTACAAAGGTGTTTAAAAAGCATTTTTTAGGGGTCTGTCTTGCTTTCATTAGCATCAAATATAAGCTCTGAATATCAGATTAGTGGTAACTACAAGGCTACACACACTCACACACATACACACACACACTCACAAAGAAAAACAAACAATACAATGATATTATTTTTCTGCCTTTTTATGACTTATTTGGCCTACTTCAGACTGTTGAAAGGTTTGCTAAATTATACACTTTAACTTATAATCCTTTCAGAGCCTTTCCACCTTTCTCTAGGCAGTAAGAAAAAATATTAGATGATTCCTTCAACTTATCGCATAAAAGCCAAAAAAAAAAAAAAAAAAAAAGAAATGCACTGTTGCAACATTATATATGCAGCAACACAAACATGTACTACTTCACTTCAAACTGAATAAATATTTTATTATCCAATATATGTTTACCATACACGAATCATTTGTTTTAATTATTGTCCTGTTTGATTGTTTTTTATGACTATTACATCCAGTTTTTAACACTAGTGTCTGATTTCATGTTTCCCCCTTTTAGTTTAAAATAACATCGCAGCAAAAATCACATTAATTTTCTTAATAAATTACATGTCATCATGATGACATGTCTTCCTTGTCTTTGAAAGTAAATAATGACACAATCAAAGGAAACTGCCTGTTGACTAACTGTAACACATTTTTGTTTTTGTTGGCATTGTCTGACTGACATTAGTTAAAGTCAGTTGGGTCGTTTAATAGTACCATTTATTTAAATTGGTGCAGATTCAGATGCTTCTGGCTGACAGTTTAGTGATCATAGCATTTATCATTTCTACACAGCTGTGTTTCACATAAACCCTGGTATGCCTATGGCTTTAAACATTTTTTTGCTTATATTTGGTGTTCGTGCGATGTATATTAGAATGACAAAAATCATCCATCCCTATATTTTTGGCATTTTATCCTCAGTCAGAGCACAGACGCAACATGTCCAGGAGGAAAATCCCAACGTTCCTCTCACCAGTGACATGCTCTTGCATTTCTTGCCTGAAAACCTTCTAGAGGGAGGTGTTCAAGAGGCACCCTAATCAGATATTCATACGACCTCAGCTGACTCATTTTGATGTGGAGGAGCAGGGGATTTAATCCAAGCGCCCACCAAATGAAAGAGCCCCTCAGCCCATATCTAAAGCTGAGCCCAGCCATCCTATGGAGGTATCGCATTTCAGCCACCTTTATGAGAGATCATACATAACATTTATATTTGTACATTTTGTGAAAAGAGTATGTTGGATTCTCATATTTAAGCTGTAACAATAACCTAGCTTAGATAAAAATCAGTGGTGGACACAGCTTACCAAAAAGTTAGTTTCGCTAACTGCTAATTCGCTAACTAAAATAATTAACTTTGCTAAACCACTAAATGGAAAAAAAAAATAAAAAATAGCAGAAGCTAACGCTAAAGTGCTAACTTTTATCATACAATGCTGTCGCTGACACTGTAAGACTCTTTGTAATGTGACAACGATGTAAGTGAACCCAAGTCAAGGTGGTTCATAAGTCACAGCTTGTGTTAACCGCTTGACTTGTGATTCACAAGTAAAGCGTCCATGTCCTGTTCAGAGGTGAGCTTTCAGAGATTAATCCAAGCCATCGAAACCGAAGAGGCAGAGCAGAACTCTGCTGTGCTGAAGCAGAGTGATGCATTCACTGTATGTCGGACGTCTTCCTCGTGTCATTTACTATAATGAAATAACTCATTTTGTTGATCCTCTTTGTGGTTAACTACTTCTACAAATAAAGATGACTTGACTTGACTTGACTTCTATAAACTACAAAGTTGCTGCGTGTCATTGTCAATATTATCCCTGTAATAAATCTGTTTGTATTAGAGTAAAGATGTGTAGTGAACTTAATCTGGGGTCAAGACTAAGCCTAAGGTCAAAACCCTTGACCTTAAGAACCTTGTGGGACAGAAACTGTCATTTCATTGATTTGAATCCAGAGATACAGGTTCACCCATCCTGAGACTCTCTTTCTTGATAATCAAGTGAAAGAACACTCTCTTTTTATTATCATTACTATTTTACAAATGTTGATAATCAAAGTGTCTTAGTTCAAACCATTTTAGATGTTGCAGTGAACTAATCAATTTTATTAAGTGTGTAATGATTTTTAATTCTCATGCAAAGTTAGAATTCATGTTGAGGTCTGTTACAGATTTTTATGCATTTTCTGACTTCTGCCTTTGAATGAGCAAGTGTACGTTTCCAGGGTCAGGAGTGAAGCAGACATGCGTTGGAACAACTGTCCTGTTTATATCCTCTCAGACATCAACAGGGGGTTTTGGCACCTGTTTCTTAAACTCGCCAAAACAAAACTCTCTCTGTCTGTGAGAACATTTCTGATCTTTCCATAACAATTCTTGCTGCATTCTAACCTTTTACGTCACAAAACACACCCCGTCTGGTCGGTTCTGGCCAATGGGAGACTCCCGTATGAACCGGGAAAAGGGCTCTTTAAAATGTCGGTACTTCCTGGTCTCAGGCAGTTCTACCAGTTCTGTTGGAGTTCTGTTGGAGTTCTGTTCGGTTCGATTGAGTTCAGTTCTGCTCAGTTCTGTGCGGAGAAGCCCAGTTCTGGGAGCCGGGAAGATCCTGACATGACAACAGAGCTCTTCCGAGTTCCATGGGATTATAACATTTTCCACTAAGGTGAGCTGTGAGGGACAAAAAGCTGCTACTCCGGACGAGTAACAGCATCCTGCGGAGACGCTGAAGGGTGCGTTAAACGGAATCTCGCCTGAGACATCTCCAGGTAAAAGAGTCGATTTCACCACCTAAGTGTACCGTAAGGAGAAGCTGAAGAAAGCCCAGAGAGTGCCGTTCTGTTCACACTCCCTCAAACCCCATCTTTTACTCTTCTTTAAACTTCTTTCCCATCTTTAAACTCTTCTCTCAAGTAGAAATTCTTCCAGATATTTATAAATGTCTGTGTAAAGTGCTCATCCACCGCCGTGTGGGTAAAAGATCATAATTGTACAGTTTTCATAAATGTCTGTGGTGAAGCAACGGAAAAATCATGGCCGTATGATTTTTCCTGATTGATTGCTTATGTTGTTATTTTCATAATTTGCCAAATTAATGTAAATGTTTGATGTTAAACTTTGATTCTGTAAATAAATGACCGCATTCATTTTGATGGGTCAAATATAAATGACGTCTCACGTTTGCATTTCATTAAATTCAATGCACGTTTTATTCAGTTCAGAAAAATGAGGAATCCGTGTTAATTGATGAATATATCTGAGCATCTGTTCATCTACAGATGTGTGAAATCATGTTATTTATAATAAAGCACTTAAAAAAAAACATATAGGACCAAAGTGCTGTACAGACAAGTTAAAAAAACACAAAAGGAATAAAATACAAAAAAAAAAAAAAAAAAAAAAAGATTAAAAAGATGCAAACAGCTATGCAATTATCAAATAAATAAATCAAACAATTAAATGAGAATCAAATAAATAACAAATTCAACATCTCACATGGTGTCAAAAGCCTGGGAAAAAAGATGGGGTTTTTAAGATGGGGTTTAAAAACAGATGGCGAGGAGACGTCTGATGTGGAGAGGCAGCCCATTCCATAGTTTAGGAGCTGCTACAGCAAAGGCACAGTCACCTCTAAGTTTGAGCTTTGTTTTGGGTACGCTCAGGAGTAGTTGATCAGTTGACCTGAGATAGCGGGGGCAGATATAAGGCTGTAGCAGTTCAGAGAGGCAGGGTGGGGCAAGACCACTGAAGGATTTAAAAGTAAATGAATCTTAAAACTGATCCTAAAATGTATGGGCAACCAGTGAAGTGAGACTAAAATGGGGGAAATGTGCTCATATTTACATGTGCCAGTTAAAAGACGTGCATCAGCATTTTGCACAATCTAAAGATGGACAATGGATGATACTAACCCCCAAATAAAGAGCATTACAGTAGTCCAGCTTAATGGTTGCAAAGGCATGAATTACTGTTTCAAAGTACTGATGTGAAAGAATGGGTTTAATTTTAGCCAGCTGCTGTAACTGGAAAAAGGTCGATTTAACAAGTGAACTTGTCTGACAGTCGAGCTTGAGATCCATATCTATTTTCACCTCAAGATTTGTAACGGTGGGCTTGATGAACTGGGCCAAAAATCCCAGAGCTTCTGGGGGGTGGGGCAGTGGTACAACCAAAAAAAACATCACTTCTGTCTTTTTCTCATTGAAATTTAAAAACATTAGAGCCATCCAGGCTTTTATGTCGTCAAGACACCTGAGCAATGAATTGACAGAGTGCAGATCTGTTTTTTTCAGAGGGACATCAATCTGACTGTCATCCACATAGCAGTGGAAGGAAATACCATGCTTCCTAAGTATGGAACCAAGTAAACGCAAGTAAAAAGAAAAGAGTAGAAGGCCCATGACTGAGCCCTGGAGGACCCCACATGAGAGGCAAGCAGAGGACACAAAGTCACCAAGACTGACACAAAATGTTTGATCTGTCAAATATGATCTGAACCACTCCAGTGTTGCACCCCTGACACCCACACACTGATTCAAGTGGGAGATTAAAAGCACAAGAACAACACAGTCCCCAGAGTCAGTTGCCAAAAATATATATATTTAAAAACTTAAAAGAGCTGATTCAGTGCTGTGTAAGGTTTTAAAACCAGATTGGCAAACCTCAAGGATATTCTGTTTCTCCAGAAAAGCCATTAATTGGTTAAAAACTATCTTCTCAAGGATTTTCGAGACAAAAGATAGTTTAGATATAGGCCTAAAATTTGCAAGAACAGCAGTATATAGTTCTGTTTTTTTTTTTTATTAGAGGTTGCACAGGTGCAAGTTTTAAATTGTGTATGTTAAAGTCTGTTATTGGCTGTAAACGGACACCATGAGTCAG